AGCTTGATTCGATCATCGAAACTTCGGTTTGAAAAAAGTTTGCGGCATCCCTAACAAGAATGCTAGATCAGATGATGAGAATATGCAACAGTTATGACACAAATCATAATTACACAGACATGAAACAGGAAACTATAAATATAGCAATGCTGGTGATGACAATGTACAACAAACACTACAGCGAGATAACCCTCGTTTTGATGCAGATTTCCTCATTCTTTTTTATATCTTCACTCATGCTTTTAAAGCGCGTTGCGGCGCCGCTTTTCTTTCCCTTTTTTTTTTTACGTGAAAGATGCGAAACAAACAAAGAATCAATGAAAATTTTCTGGGTTTTCTCTAATGTGTCAAGATTTCAAAGAATAGTACAATCAAGGTTTTGCATCGTTTGACGCGAAAAAGGCAACGATTAGTAACCAAGCATGCGAACGAAATGAGAACCATGTGCGAGCACATTCCTATAAAACAGCATCATGCTCCTAAACGAGAGCACGCAGAAGAAAAAAAAATTACTAGCGCTTGCTAACCTTCGGTAATGCGATTCGAAGGGCAACCAAAAATGTTAAAACTGCGCTGCATTAGGAATGTTGATAAAAAAAAAATGAAAGCCGCTTACAACTCCCTGTAACGCCGAATTAGAGCGCAGCTCTTGAGGAGGAGGAGGGAAGGGCACTGGGGGGGGGGGTTAAACTAACCAGGGGGGGGTCACGTTACCTTGGGGGTCACGTGACCCCCAATGCCGATGATGTCATCACTGACGTCACTGATGACGTCATCAGTGACGATGACGATGCGGGTACCGATGACGTCATTAGTGACGTCACTGATGACTTCACCAGTGATGATGACGATGACGATGCGAATGTCGGTGACGTCATCAGTGACGTCGCTGGTGACGTCATCAGTGATGATGACGATGACGATGCGGATGCCGTTGACGACATCAGTGACGTCACTGATGACGTCATCAGTGATGATGACGATGACAATGCGGATGTCGGTGACGTCATCAGTGATGATGACGATGACGATGTGGATGCCGGTGACGTCATCAGTGATGATGACGATGACGATGTGGATGCCGGTGACGTCATCAGTGGCGATGACGTCATCGGGGGGTCACGCGACATCGGCGGGGGTCACGTGACCTCGAGGAGGGGGCCACGTGACCTCAGGGGAGTCACGTGACTTCGGGGGGTCACGTGACCCCCCACGAGGTCACGTGACCTTGGTGGGGGGCTCGCGCGGTGCATTATGGGACATTTCCCATGATGCACCGCGCGGTTACGCCGACGGCGACGGCGACGCCGCTCAAGCCGGAAACGTGCCCCTAAGAGCTGCGCTCTAAAAATAATGTTAAACCTGTGAAACAATGCCGCGGGTTCAGAAACCTGGATCAGATTTTGATGGCCAAACACCCCTGGATTCCCACAGTTGCCAGACGAAAATGCAAACTCCTTTAAAAACCAATACGTCCACAGATTTGTTCACTTTGGCGCAGATTGGTGCAATTTCTCCGTTTGGGCGCAGCAAGGCGCAGACAAGCGGGAATTTATCAAAATGATGCAAATGGCGCAACTGGACCACACCTGGACACTGGTGACTAACTTCCAAGCTCAGTAAAATCCCAGTGCATTCTGTATATGTTGTAACTATCATCGCAGCGCTAGTGTTTCGTCTACGATAGCCGGTTTGTCCCTTACTTTTCCTTACATCGTAAAATATCTCATTCACGCCAACAAAATTTATCCTTCTAATGCGTCACTAAAAAGTAAATTACTCCTTCGCCCCTCATACGTTTCTGCACGAGTTGATCATTATTTTAAAGACCTCAGTGTCAAACGTCAGAATACATCGACTCCTTCTAAGAAAATTCTTTACTTTGCATTCTTATTGCGTAAATTGTTTCTGCGTGATTTTGTAGGCCCCCTCTTTCTGTAATGCACAATGTCCTTCACCAGGAGGACCTTGTGTACCGTGTCATTTATTTATTTATTTCAATACCCTCAAGACCCCCAGGCTATTGAAATATATAAATAAATAAAGAAATAAGTGAAACAAGGCACAAGGGCCTCCTAGCAGACAAGCAAACTTGCGGAGTGGAATCTTAATTCGAAGATGCAAGCTTGCATGCAAAACTTTTGTTGGCACACTGAAAAGAATATGCGGAAAGTACTAAATTCTTCACTGTTGTTAAAGTAAAAGTATTTTCACAAAATTTCAAAACATCTTTAGAAACCCCAAAAGCATGTTTCACTTAAATATTTTTGGTCAGAAATTTTTTTATACATGGACAGATGTTAATCAGTAGTTTGCGCCGCCTAGCGGAAATCTAAAAAGACCAACGTACGATTCCTCCCGCCCTTCTAAGACAATTTTCGAGGGATCGTGCCACGAAATAGAGTATGCAACAGTTAGCAGAAACTAAGAAGCAATAAAAACAGCAAACGTGCTCCATCATGATCAGTGCAGGTGACGATAGCTGAAGGATGTGTTGCCGACTCGTTTCTTATTTCTCCCACCATCGCAAGTAAGGGGACAAAGCAACTATTGGTTCACGGACTGTCTAACCAACTTGTGAGACCCATTGCCTCAGACCCCTCATGCTCACTCTACAGGTTGTCCTTTCCACACCTCCGTTTTCGTTTGTCAACTTGGGCACTAACGTTGCCTACCCAGAAAAAAAGCTGAGTAGTATGACGAATGCACTAGCGCAAGACCATTTCAGGGAAGACACCGAAGCAATAAAATGGCTGCCTTCTGGGCTAGGTAAACAGAAACGACCATCCCATTCCACGGGTGGTGACCTCTACAATACTCTTCTTGCTATTATGGATTCCAAAGGGCAGGGTTTCAGTGACCAGCTAAATTTAATTCTCCCGCTGCACCGTAGTTAGGAGGAGAAACCCCTTTCAGAGCTTCTCGAGGCCAATGGCATATCTTTTCAAAAGCTTCATTGATTTTCTCTATAACGGCAAACCATGTGTGATCCCAGTTACAATTGCAAAAACTAGAAAATCAGGCAGTACCTGTAAAACGCAATGCGTAGGATAGACCACAGAGGATGGCAGGAGCCATCAAAGCCAATCCAATGCTGCGCGAGTGACCTTTGAGAGGGGCAACGAGGTGCGGCGTGAGTAGTCCCACATCCAATTGAAACCTAGCTTTCCAATAGTCGCTCTACCACTCTCTCTACATCAAACGCAATGGAAGCAAACTTGTACCAAGACCTAGAATCCGTGCCGCATGCCGTGGAAACCAGCTAATCCTTCGATAGGAAGTTGGGAATTTGACATAAAATGTGAAGTCCAATTAATAGAGTCCGGAAGTCGCGTTCGACTTTTTACTCGCCTTAAATATACATTCGAGTTTTTTTTTTTTCTTTTTCCGACCAACGGATCTTGCGCGAAAGAAAGGAGATTCCTGGTTTCCTTAGGGGACTAGGCAAGCGTAAATACCCGGCCATAGTGCTACCGATGGTGTAAATATTTGCACCGTTGGTGGCAACGGTGCAAACCTTGGGCAGACACCCGGCACTGGGACCCTGAGCCCATTCAGACCAATGCCCGATGTCCCAACGGCGACAACACGCGTTGCAGGCATTTTCTTAGGGTGTCGGGCCGGAAACGTTCTCGGAGGCGTCTCAATTAACGCGCATCACTTAGCTGACACACTAGCTGAACACAATCACCGACTAGTGCAGACTGAGAGTTTGAGCGACGACTCTGGAGGTCCCTTCCCACGTCGATCACCAACATAGCACCGAATGACCAGACCTGCATTTGCACGTTCACCAAAAACGTAGCAAGCTACCTGCGGAACAATTGAGTGCATGACTCGTGTAACATTTATGTAGCTGGTGACTCCCCCCCCTCCTTGTTTTGTATATATAATTTCCTTACCCTCTCTGCAAGAGGCACTGTAGACCTTTCGGTATGGGCGTAACGCCCGATTCACAGTGACCCAACTCTCGAGAGTTAAATAAACAAACAAACAAACAAATAAACAACAGTAGGTGCTTTTCAAAAGAATCTGTTGGGATGAATAAGTCGAGGAGGAGACTGGATCTGAGGTAACCACTTAAAGAAACGAAAAAAAAGAATGCAATGGTACTGTGAAATGTTTCACTCAGCAAAAAAAAAAAAAAACAAAAAAAAAACAGGGCCCACCGAATTACAGTGGGACACTTCATTGCTGGTGACGTCTTGCGACACGTGGATGTTCTGTCCCACAAGACGTAGTGTGGTATCCGCGTTTGGAATACATTTGCCGGTGCGCCTAATGTGTGGCCTTCACGAAGTAGATACTCGGGGGAGTGCCCTTCGCGCTTCCCAATAGCCCCCGAAATTCCCCGGTAGACGCAGAGAAACAAATAAAAACGCGCATGATTTTCGCCGAGAAACTCGAAAAAGTACTACGACTACTTGGAATATCGGCGACGCTGATAACATTCGACTCCGCGGCTTCTCCTCGCTCGCAAAGCGCGACTTATGCAAACACAGATCGCGCATGCATCGAAGGAGCAGTCGCGTGAAATTCGCTCGCCTAATGTCGGCACAGAAAAGTAGAAGCCTGGAGCTACGGCAGGCATCTCTGGGTGCCGATCGCTTACTTCTAGAGGCCGTTTATCTCTAACATTGCCGTTATAATTGAAAACACGCAAACCGGCCGCGATCGGCAACAAGTTGTCAACAACACAAGAGGGTAAGCAGGGAAATACGTAAATCGTCACTCCGTCCGGCAGAGCTCAGGTGCTCAGCACGACTTCGGAGCCCAAACCCGTGTGCGCTAGGGACCCAGCTCGCTCGGAGCCTGCGCCCGGTCACAGGCGATCGGAAAAAAGAGCGAATGAAGCCAAGTCTCGGGCAACGTCCACCGCAGTGGGCCGCAAACAGGCGCAAAGCAGACGATTCCCAGTGAGAGTGGGTGGAAAGGCTTAGCAGGCTCGGCGGTGCCCGAGCCCGCTGCTCGGCTGCTGCAAATCGCGGTAGTGTGCTCACCGTGGGTAGCGACGACACCGCAAAGGTCAAAGGTTGCGCAGACTCGCAGGTTCCGGGTGGTGGCAGAGCGCACGCGACGTCGGCCACTTCCGTACACACGCACATGCACGCCGCGGCTGGTGAAAGTAAAAAAAGTGGACGCCGCTGCCCCCCACCACAAGCCCTAGTAACCCACATTCGGGCCGCCACACGCCGATCCTGGGATTTCTTCTGCGCCCGCACCCCGCACGGCGGCCAGGTCCCGGATGTGCGGCCAGGTGGCGCATGCGCAACACCGCCATATCCGTTTTCTCTTGGGCTGCTCTCGGCGCTCTCGGGGCTTTCGGCATGCGAAGGAAAGCAGCGGCTGGGAAGAACAAAAGGTTACGCACGCAAGTTCAGGCATGTTGACAGCGATTGTTTCTTTCCTTTTGTGTTTACACAAACCAAAAGACACATACTAGGAGTGCACCTTTCATTATCGTCCTTGCTTGTGCCGTATCGTCGGGTGAAACCGAAACTGCCGGCTGAAACCGAAACTGTGTAGTGTATAATTTGGAAATGTGCTTTGTTATGTACAAGCTCTCCTTGGTAGCTACGTAGTAAATATAGCATCCCAAAAATCGTGCGAAGGTGAATTTAGCAAAAGCACGCGAGCGCTGAATGCACTCAGCAACTGCAGAAAATGATCTATAGAAAACATGATAAAACAAGCTGGATATTTGACGGCGACATCAAGCGCTTGCAAACATCCCGAACACGCGAAATCCATCCAAGCAGCTAAAATTCCGTTTTCTGGCTATGCTTCTGATCATAATCATTCTGTGATGCCGATGATCCCGAACAGGTGATCCGAGTGCGAGCGCAAGATAGCGCAGATCCTAGAACGCCACACCTGCTGCCATCTCTTAAAAGTGGCACGAACTAGCCTCCAAGATCCCGAAGCGCGCGCGCGCGCGAAGGCTTCTCCAGCCGTCCCAACCAGGGTGTCGAACCGAAATTTTTATCGGTTCGGTTCCGGTTCGGGTTCACGGCTTTCGGTTCGGTTCCGGTTCAGTTCCGGGGAGCAAAAAATAACGGTTCAAACCGGTTCGAACCGGTTCGAACCGCTAAATTGAGAATATATTTTCCACGTTGTTCTGGCCATATACACTATTTACGCCGTGAAACGATTAACTATATAACTTCTTCGATCGTCCGTGCAATTTACTTTTGTTTTTAGGTACCAAAATATGAAATTCAGTTATTTATTTTGACGCAAGAGTAGAAGAAAATCTACATTGACGCACATAACGTCGTGTTCATACGACTCGACATCCCTTTGTTTACTAGTAGCACATTTTTTACCTGAATCAAAATGGTACAAGAGTGAAGAGGTGAGCTTGTTGGTACATCTATAAATAGATCAGCTTGAAATTTAGAACTCTACGGCATTTTCTTGTCCTTTCTTCGTGTTTAAGTAAAATTCTAAAGTTCAAGCTGATTTTTTTACACGGTATAAAATATTGTCGCAAAGTGTGGTAGGTCGCCTAAAATACCCGTGATTGATACAACTTTGTGTCGCAGTATTAAAAGTGAAATCGTGATTGTGTCTTTGAACCAAAGAATTAAATGCATCACATAAAATTTTAAAATAAGCACCTCGTGGCCATATATATTACCAGATATTGTTTACGAAATACACTTCACAATATATATGTATGAGATGACGACGCAACTTAGCTAAGAGCAATGAAATTTTCAAGATGTCACAAAAGCTTTAGAATAATTCCTTTCGGACTATTTGTTATAGGAACACCGAGGGGCGATCAAAATGCTTGCTGTTCTAACCAAACATTGTTTACACTCAGTACCGCATGCATGCGACTATTCATGCAGCAAGGAGTGATCGCGATTATTCACCCTAATCTATACGCACCTTCGCACTCCGATCGAATCTGCCCCAATATAGCGCTTGTCCAAATGAACATTTTCTTACGCAGAAGAAGCTGGCATAGCCTGGCTGTTGAGGTTTGTTCTTGACAAAAATCCGGCCAATTTAATTTGCAAATGAGCATCACCCTTGCTAATTGATGACTTTAACGCGATAGTGTTAAGGAACTCATGTCGCAGAAAACCCGATGTCGGTGGCGTGACTAGAAAATCTTGGTTGGTCGATAGGGTGATGACGTCAGTGTATACATGCCCCAGCGCAAGAATTTCAAACAACCCACAATGCTCATGTGAAACGTGACATCACGCGTGGAATGAGAGTGATTAAAACATGACATGTAATGCGAATTGAAGTTCGCCCTATGTCTCAAATGATTTCACTTTTTAAAGTAATTCTTTGCCTTAAAGAAAAAAATTAAGAATTTTAGGTGGGATTTGAACCCACGACCCTTCGGGTGCGAGTCAGACGCTTTTGACTAGGCCACGCGAGGCACGCTTTCGTGGCAAATGAAAATGCGATGCAAACGAGGCCCGTTAAGGCTATCGCGTTCCACCTTTGAAGGCGAAGCTTAAGCGTCCTCCAAGATTCTTTTTTGTTAAGTAAAACGAAGTAGTATTCCACATTCTACTCGACATGGCAGCTACTTAATTGAACACTTTCTGACGGTTTGCGTGCGTAATCGTCATAGTTCCGCCACGCGCCCTTGTTTACTTTGTTTTTGTCCAGCCCACAGACACATAAAAGTAATGTTCCCCACATAAAAGAGGCAATAACAGACTTCTATATGCTTGAGAAGTTATATGTGTGAGGAACACAGTTATTTAAATTAGCTTCAAAATCAGGAATGTGTGTAGGCTGTCCCATATCACGTACAACGTGGCTGTCGAGGATAAAAACGCCGGAAAAGATTGGCAGAACATTTTTCAGATAATTTGGGGGGCATTGCTTTAGTGTGGTCGGGCACTTATTTGTGTTGTCAAATATTCAGTTAGTAATTAAATATATTTTTATAACGATCAATAAATTTTACTTTATAAAGTTCCCATAACCGCTTGAGACCGACGAGGAAGGACGATACTCGAAACTACGCGAGCTGTGGGTCTGCGTAAAAGTGTTTTTCTGTTTGCTGATTGGCAGTGTGAGACATCGGGTTGCACGGTACGCCATAGAGGGCTCTGTGCTCACATAATAGATTGGAAGTCAAATATATGAAATGTTCAAAAATAGAGAGATAATTAATGTTATTTTTCTAAACAATCCCTTAACGAACGCCTTACTGCAAAAAGATATGCGTACAAATCCACGCAATGAAATATATAATTTTACATAGATAGGGCGAAGGACAGACAAGGATTCTTTAAATCTTAATATAAATCACAATTTATCAGCTTTTATAAGCTCGAAACTTCGCGAACTACTGCCTCGGGAGACTAATGTTATATTCGGTTTTACTTGCACTTGTTTTGGCCCTCACTTTAACCTATGCTTGAATAGTCATGCGCGCTAACATTTCTCTAGGCTGCCATATATCATCGCGGGACTGCTAAAAAATCGCACAACTTTACAATTAGGACATCTATTGATAGTGTTGCAAGCATCACATTTCACCAGAAACCTTAACTGTTTAACATGGTATGCACGTGACATCATCACACTATAGGTTGGTGGTCGTTGTGATTTCTTCTTGCTAACAAAATCGAATTCGATGGCGCAAAATGAATGCTGCAGGAGGTTCAAGCTTAGTGAAAGCCAAGTATTTTAAAAGCACGTATTACTATTCTTAATGCATCGTCGTGAGGAACGGCGCGAGCGTCTGGAACGACAAAAACGTGCTATTTGGCAAGAGCCTTTTGCACACAAAGTAGTTTCCGGGGTCACGCCTTTTGGTCTGCGCCAAGGATGCAGGGAAGAGGAACCTTTACAACACAGTAGGTTTTTAAAATTAACCCTCCTCTTCCCCACACATCCAGCACACACACACACACACACACACACACACACACGCACACGCACACACTTCTTTTTACAGCGGAGCTATTAAGGGCTAGTTGCCTCAGTATCGTGTCCGTCAGCAAACAAATGTCGACACTAAACTCTGGACAGCTACCGCCATCTATAAGTGACGACGGCAACCAGACAACCGACTTGCTGGTTGTCTGGTTGCCGCCGTCGCGTATAGACGGCGGCAACCTCTACAGCCTTTCCACTCTGGCTTGCCGACTTGAGGCCGGCCATTACTTCATTTCCAATTACATAGTACAGCTTCGCTGGTCTTCCTTCTTCACCGAAGTGGAAAGGGTGATAGTATTCCTGAGAAATTGTCTCCTCCGTTCGTGTGTGCTAATTCGACAATTTTAGTTTTCACTTGTTAACAGCAACCCTTCACTGCTTTTATTTTGTACCCCGTGAAGTTTAAAGGGGTCATAAAACGATATCGGGTTGGAATGTTCATGACTCTTCCGAGGCGTACTGGTCCTAGTCTGACCCAAGTATACTCGCACAGGCCGCCACTGATTCAGAAGCTTCTTTGTCGCGGTGAAATGGCGAGGCCAAAAATGAGACTATTTCTTGCCTTCGCAAAGATTGATGTCGTAATTGTGGGATCAAACCCACCCGCCTGACGACAGTCGAGCGCGGCTCATGGATTGGACAGGAGAACTGCGTGAGCACTGTACATCGGCTCGTAACAAGCAATGCCTTGGTGGACACTTGGGTAGTAGCTCGTGTCCAACCACTGCGGTAATGAGAATAGCCGAACTCTAACAATGCCTAGAGATCCCCCCCCCCCCCCCCCCCCTCCAGTACGCGTTTTCTTCCATTTCAACCCGAGCGCGGGGGTATGATTAACGTTGGGGGCATAAGACAGGCACCAGGCCACGTGGCCGCTTCTGGCTCCGAGTTGATGGAATAACCGATACTCATATTTCTATAACTTTTTGGCGACTGCCATTGCCTAGAAAAAAAAAGCAAAGCCAAGTTCAATCAGTTATTAACGTTAGGGAGTGATCCTGAGTAGTATTTAGTGATGCATAGAAATCTTTTTATAGCTTCTTTAAGCAAAATACAGAGGGGTTCGAAACTTGGGCAATAACTTGAGAACGACGCTCGTGTAAGACTTACAGCGACTGCCATTGTTCGGCTGTCCCTCTGAGGTCACTAAAATATCTTCTTTTTTAGGTATTCCTTCCGTACACACATGTAGTTCTATAAAACGTCATATTAATAAGTCGCATTTAGTCATTTCAATACTTCTATTCTCGGGACATCTTTCGGATGCAGTTCTCAATGATGTACAATTGGTCCTGCAACATTTTTTTGTACTTTCAACAAATACTGCTAAGAA